GGGCACGGCTGCCAGGGCTAGAGGCTGAGTGAGCTGGAAATGTACCAGGGGAGCAGAAGGCAGGACCACCCACTTCTCTCATTGGCCACTCTGCTCTGGGTTGGCAGGAGAGCCCAGCCACCCAGTGCAGCAGCTGGGCTGCCTGAGAAAGAGCCTGGCTGTGGGAGGCGATGGTGGCAGGCCGCAGGTAACTGGTGGGGTGGGGAGAGAGTGGTGGTTCCGGGGCTGGATGCAGGGTGGAGGGGAAAGGAGTGAGCAGAGGCCGGGACCTTGAGGGAGGGGTGGAGCAGGGGGCAGGGCCGCAGGGGTGTTCAGTTTCCAGAAATTGGAAAGTTGGCAGCTCTATCAACATCACATATCAAAATATACAGCATAAATAATATCCTTAAATTAAACTTTGAAGTTCTCATGTAGCATTTTTCTTATTTTGCTTGTCTGTAAACTTTAGTTATCTATGGAAATATTTTTGCCAGTTTGTGTGTGTACAGTGAAATTGATGTTTACTGACACTGATAAAAATTGAATCCTTCCAAGCCTAGTGGTGTGACATTATAAATTCATGGAGGATAAGTCCATCAATGGCTATTAGCCAGGATGAGGAGGGATTGTTTCCCTAGTCTCAGTTTGCCAGAAGCTGGGAATGGGCGACAGGGGATGGATCATGTGATGATTACCTGTTCTGTTCATTCCCTCTGGGGCACCTGGAATTGGCCACTGTCAGAGGACAGGATACTGGGCTAGATGGACTTTTGGTCTGACCCAGTATGGCCGTTCTTATGTATCTCCTTGACACCACATTGTCACCTGCTGGGGCTTCTCCTGCAAGCAGAACACAAGTGAGAACTGGGTTTGCTATCCACACAAAAAAGTAGGTATTAGTGCCTAAACAAATGACACAGAGAATATCATTTTATGTTCAGAGAACACTTATAATGGGAAAGAGAATAATCCTTAGTCAGAATTTGGGTCAGGTAGTACTTAAAATGCGTGTGCCTCACCCATGGAAGAGTGCCCAGGCTAAAACTCCATGAGGTTCCTTGGCAAAGTTTCTTCCAAATTCTTCTGTCAAGGGGTTTTCTTCCCATGGTAGAAGCAGTATGTCCAATCTCCAAATCTCATAGGTAGCTTGAGATCTATGTGAATATGGAGGATGGTTCTGCTGAAGGTTTTTGTGCTGGCTCCAGAGCCCTCAGCAATTCTTACCAGCAGCTTGGGACATACAGCTCCAACAGAGCAAAGAAGCAGCAAGGATCCCACATACAGCTTGAGATCTGCAAGGAGTGGTTTTTTCTGTGCAGTCCCACAGACCCCCAGGCTACATAACAAATCTTGGTGGCACAGCCTCCACACAGCTGCTGGCTTGCCAGTCTCAAGGACCAGTGGCTTGTCAAAAATGATGCACTCTGAATGTATGTTCTCTCTTTTAAATGTGGATTCATGTCAGAAAAGAGGACCTGATAATCCATGCATTAGGAATAATAGTATGGCAGAATTTAGTGCAGATTTAATCATTGTGATCCAGGTGGAAAACACCGATGTATTGATGGTAAACTCTCTGGGAAGATATTTTCTGTATGTGTGAACTGATTGGGTAGGTGCAGTTTGCCTTCTGATGGTTTTTATAAAACATATTTAATAAAGGGCTACCAACTTGTAATTAGTTGGGATTAAAACAGTATTGTATTAGTAAGGCTGGTGTTTCTCAAGAAGCAATATCAGGCTCCTTATCACTTCCCCAAATTTTCAAAGCCTTTCGCCAGCATAGCTGATGAGCAGCTGCCAACAATTTGTGTGTGCTTCTTAATTGGTCAACGGAAGTGCTTCAGGTTTGTCTTCCCAGAAATGAAACTTCTCTCTCACTCTGGCAATATCCTAAACCTGAGAAACAGATGAAAGTCAGCATGTCACTGTGCACTCAGTGCTATTTTCCCTTAATAGTGGTTTCAAAGAGGCTTTTCTATTGCCCAATGTATAATGAACTAAAATGGAAAAAGGAGGGGGGCTTTTTAATTTTTGTATGGTATACATTTGGCAGTAGAATCATTGGGCCACCTTCTTGGTTGACTTCACCCAGAACAATCAATTGCCAAAGAGGCACTTTCAATCCAACTGGGGATTTTCTTGCAGTAAAACTCTTTTGTGGGGTGCGTGTGAGAGCTACTGTAACTTACATCCCAACCACTTTTGCCAAAATACATGTATATATCAAAATCTATCTAGGCTCTTGGATAAATATAGAGGCAGATCTCAGCCTTGGTGTTGGCAGGAGCAGCTCCATTGATATCAGTGGGGTTGGCTCAGCTAACATCAGAGCAGAATTTGGCCCCAATGGAGTCTCTAATTGGGGCTGGTTATATCCATCTGTTCCTATTATCCCATTGCATTAGTAGGAGTTTTAAGGATAAATCCCCACATTGAATTGAGAAGTGACCTTGCAAGTCAACCTTTTTTTTTTTTTTTTTTTCTTATTATTAAAAGTATCCGATGCTGACCTGTCCAGAAAATGATTAAGTACATTATGATTGTATCTCAAACAAAAGGAAGAGGACTCAAAGTTAATTTTCTGGGCCAAATTCTGCTCTGATTTGCATCCCGTGCAACTCTCCTGAGCTCATTGATTTCATAGGGTGTAAATTAATGCAACACTTGACTGCCACTGGTTTGCTTTTTAGTTTACTTGTGGCTTGAGGAAAGGGCAGTATCAGACTTGATTTCAAGTTTCTGATTTTGTGTCAAAGCCTTCATGTTTTAATATACTTTGTTGTATTTTTGCATTGCTGCATTTGTATGCCTGAGGTATAATGCGTGTGACTTAATATCTGCATATTGCTTCAGCTTTAGAAATCTGTGGTTTGTCATCACATTTATCCTAGACTGAAATCAAATAAAGCAGAAGTGCTTCACATTGTCTTACAGTTATTTTAAAGCATTTGTGCAAATACAACATACTTAAATTATATATAAAGCCATCCCAAAGCACTTTTAACCACATTCATAATTGCATGAAAGAAATTCAAGTACTTAAAAATTATAGAAGCAATTTAAACTATTTGTCTTTCCATGCAGAATTCATGAATTTTGGGTCTGAATCACTTTTTGGGGGGCATTTTGCCAAACAAAGCTTTTTTTGTTTTTGTTTTGTTCTTATTTGTTCTGTGGTATGGAAGCACAACTGAATGTATGCTGCCAGTGTAGTAAAATATTTAGGGCAATGTTTGATCCTGATTCAGAGTTGGTTTTTTTTAAGTTTTTGCCAGGCATTTTGATGTGTTTAGGCAGATTTTTAAAAACATTTTAATATGTGAGATTTCAAATGTTATATAAATACAGTATTCCCAGGCCAAAAATAAACTAAGAAGGAGGTAAGGTAGAAAGTACATATCAGTAATATAGGGTAAAACAAAATAGTACTTTATAAGGTTGTGATTATACCCAAAACAAGCATTAAAACCCAGGAAATTGAGTTATGGTTACCCTTAAGAGATATAAACATTAAAGTATGTAAATGCAGAATTCAGGCACTTAAACAACCTAAACCAGTGGTGGGCAACCTGCAGCCCATCAGGAATATCCACCGGCGGGCTGCCAGACAGTTTGTTTACATTTGTACGGCCTCCCGCAGCTCCCAGTGGCCACAGTTCGCTGTTCCCGGCCAATGGGAGCTGCGGGAAGCGGCGGCCAGCAAATTTTCAACGGATTACAAGTTCTTACTGAATGTGTATTTCCAAAGAGTCAGTGCAGCTGACATGCTAAGGCAACTGCTAGAAAAATGTTGAGAACAAGGAAGACCTCTCTGTATGACTGCCCTAGATCTTACAAAGGCTTTTGACCTGATCAGCATAAAGGGCGTTTTTCAGTTGCTAGGGAGAATTGACTCTCCCTGCCGCCCCATCCTTAGTTTGAGTCAATCCTTTCATAATGGCATAAAGGCTATAGTCCACTAGGATGATCAGTCTGAATCTGCAGCAGCATCAAACAAGTTAAGATTAATGCATGTGTGATAAGGCAGGGCTTCTCCCCAGCTGCCAAATGACTCATTGCTATACCCATGCTCTCTTTGATGCAGTTTTATTATTCATCTTAACAAACAAACACAACAGGTCCCCAGCTCACACTTCACATCTTGAGCTCTCCCTGTCAGCTCTCCCAGAGGACTCTGGCAGTCCTGGTTCCTGCCTCTCTGTGGCTCATTCTACCTGAGCGAGTTCTTTCTCACAGTATCCCTGTTCCCTTCCAGATTTGTTCTCACTGAAACTCCCTTTATAGCCCAGAAAAAGTCCCATCCCCTTAATTAATGCAATGGGTTACACCTGCTCTGGCACAGGTGTGCTGGACCTACTTCAGTCACAGGGGCCAGTCACCCTGTGACAGCATGTTAGTGTCTGTGGTCCCAGGTTATATGAAACTGATTTAATAAACGTTCAACAAATGGTCTCACTTTTTCCCCCTCATGGTGATGGGAGCATGCATAATATTGTACTACATTATTTAAAACCATGAAATTTTCAGTATGATTGGAACTTACCAGGAATTCAGTGCTCTTTGCTGAGGATAAAAGTTCCCAGAGTTATTGAATCTAATAACAAATCATGTAAACATCTTAGATAGACAAACTGTAATAAGTGAAACCTTATAAATCCTTTTCAAAGAACAGACAGCTAAAAAGTTTTTATTCACCATAAATTAAACAGAAAACTACCTTTTGGGATTCTGCATTTTGATGAATAAATTGGCATATTTTTGCTAATTTGCTTACTTTTAGAGGCTTAATCATCAGTTTTGGGTACACACATTGCCAAAAACAAAAGGAAGAAACAGTTTTAAATGTGCCTCTATACAAGTTATGTTTTATCAGTTATTCCTTTATAATCAATCCTTTTTTAATGCAGATACCTGTCTCTTCCATAATTGAGAGTCACCATAATCAGAGATTGAAATGGTATGACACAAGCTTTGAATCATTTGACTTTGAAGGCCTTCGTGGTTTTCTGAGAATTTGGAACAGAATTTGGACACCTGGTTCTGTGCAGCCCCATGTTATAATGCCATCCTTGCCTAATGAAGGAGGTAGGCAAATTGATTATAGAACTCTTGTATTTTTAATATGGCTCATTAATGATGGTGTTTCAACATGCTTGTAACTGTTAATCAATCTGAATCAAAGTTTACTAATACGTAACTGACTAGTAATTCGCATTGCTTTTGTACTATGGTTCTTTTAGTTATGGGCATTATTTTATGTATTGTTATCATAAATTGAACAATATGAATTCTATTAACTTGTATGCTAATATTGTTCTGTGACCAAGGGTGAATTTGTACTGAAAATTAATATTCTATTTTACATTTGGAAGATTCGTTTCAAAATATCATTTAAATGTATCACTTTTGTGTAGTTCGTTTAGTAATAGATGAGTTGGGGTTGTGAAGACAAGAGATGAAGATGAGACTGCTAATTTATGTATTGTTGATTGTTACAAACATTATTTTTCAAAGATAACCAAGGAACCTCTTGTCTGACTTTGAGTTCAGAACTGCCTTACCAAAGCACAACTAAAAGAAAAGTCAGAAAGAAGAAAAAGAATGGAATCATCACTGCGAACGTTGCTGGCACAAAATATGAAATTGGTAGGAGGCTACAGATTCTTCTTATTTTTAATAGCTACTGGGGTTTGTGAAAAGGGCTGAGATCAGACTGAAGGGGTAAAATAAAAAGTAGAATCAGGAAGGAAAGAGAACTTTCACTGTTGTAGGGCCTGATCCAAAACCTATTGAAGTTAATAGAAAGACCCCAGTGACTTTAATGGAGTTTGGGTCAGGCCCATAGTGAATTAATGCCATTGGTTTTCTTTTTGAACATAGGAATCTTTCTGTGTTGTGTTATAATATATACCTGCTGGTCTTGCATGCTTTGTGCACCCATAAATCCTGTTTGTTACTCAGGATTAAGCCTGTTACTAAAATATCAACAACCAATTAATAAAGCTTTAGGAAAAAATCTCAATTATGAGTTTAGCTAAATAATTTAGAACTTACACCTTTCTTTACTTAATTAAGATTTTAATGTCAAATTCTCTAATCATTACATATAAGTCTCTCTAAGAAACTGATTATGTTCATGCATTTCTTACACTTGAAGCTACTATTCCATTAATTTTATACATGGCCTTCATAGTGTGTGGGAGGGTGGGGGGATACAAAACTAGATTAGTATCAGAGGGGTAGCCGTGTTACTCTGGATCTGTAAAAAGCAACAAAGAGTCCTGTGGCAACTTATAAACTAACAGATGTATTGGAGCATAAGCTTTCGTGGGTGAATACCCACTTCATCAGATGCATATTTCTTAGCTTCAGATTTAAAAATAAAGTTATTGGGAAAGACATTTTAGCTTTTTGGAGATGGGGGTGACCACTGGTGTTACTTGATGAAAACTGAACAATGACCATGTTAAAAATATATTCTCCTAGTCATGTAGCAATCTTCATAGTAGGCTTTCTCCGACATCTCTCCAGAGACAAATGGGCCAGTCTCCAGATACAAAGCATTTCCTTGCCAATGGAGGTCTCCTTAGTGAATGTCTGAGGTAGGAAACCTCTGTCTCCTTATACCTCCATCAAGCTATATCAGCATTTCAGGGAGTGGTCTAGGAGAGTATAAAATTGTTTCTGGACCTTATAGTGATATCTGTGAGGCCTATTCTGCTTGTTACCCATGTGGACTGATGGTCCAGGATCTTCTACGGGCTCAGGGTTTGAATTGGAAGAAAAAAAGTAGTGGAATTCTTCTGAAATCTGTCTGCAAAATAAGCTCCATCCACAGATGATGGTGCATATGATCAAAATATATGTACTCTGCTGGGCTCTGTGGGCTTATTTTCCCTTCATTTGGGATTCAGATACATCCAAGGGTTTTTCTGCATTCCTTAGGCTTGATTTTCCCCCCTTGGTAGGGCTTCGGTGCTCTACTGAGCTCTGCTAGGCATATCTCCTTGCTTAGGAAAAGTAAGAGGATGTATCGAGCCAGGACAGGAAAATGAACTGTGTCTCAGACTGTAAAATCTTCATAGCATGATTCTCCCTCTCCTTTCTAGCATGCTTTGGTTAGCATTGAAACAGTTGACAAATTTAATTTAGATTCCCAGCGTTCACATTTAACAACCCACTGCAGCTGCACAGTTATGAGGGCTAGGTTCACAGTTGGAATGTAGGTGCCTAACTTTGACTTCAAGTGCCTAAGTCCAACATTTAGGCATAATTGGCATTCAGAAAACCCAGGGCCGGCGCAACCCATTAGGCGACCTAGGCGGTCGCCTAGGGCGCTACAATTTGGGGGGCGGTGACCACGGCGGTATTTCGCCGCCTCTGTGGGGGGCGGCATTTCGGGGCGGGACCTTCCACCACCTAGGGCAGCAGAAAAGCTGGCGGCGCTCCTGACAAAACCACCAGTCAGCTGCTGCCTGTCCCTGTAGGTGGTTAAAGTCTCTAGATACCCACGTTTTCACTGGTAAAATCTTCTAGGTGCCTAAATTTCAGCAATGACCATGTGCGCAGCTACCTAAGTCCTGACACCTCCCAGCAGCTTGGCACCTTACTTACTTGGAGACGTTTACTTATGGTTAAGCCCCAGCCTTTGAGGCCTGATCTGAGCACCCCTAAACCTGTAAAAAAGATGCCAGTGGTGGTGCTCCCTTTATCTGTGAAACCCCTTTTTAGGTGCCTAACTCTCCCCAGGCATTGTACAGGGAGCCTGGGAGCCTAACTCAGGGTAGGTGGCAGGGTGCCTAAAAGTTAGGTGCTGCAACACTGACAGCCCCTCTGTCCCTTTTGTGAATCTGGCTCTTCATTTAAAATAATGCAACTTTGAGTCTAGAGTACAACATGGCAGCTTGCATATGCAGTGTCTCCACATTCCATCAGTTAGATTCTTGCCTTTTCCCTGGGAAAGGAGGCCTCTCAGCTGCTCAAGGAATGGTAACAGGTCAATCCTGTTTCTTCACTTCCCCTGCCAATTCCTCCTTACTCTCACCTGGTATGATGGAGCCAGTTTTCCCAGCTCCCTTCTCACTCCTTCACCTTCTAGCAGAAGCAGAGACAGACTTGGATCCCATGGTTCCCTGAGTTCTGGCACACTGCCTTCAGCTCTCCTTCTTCAGTCTGGGCAGGCAGACTGATAAAGTCTTTGGACAGAACAATCCTCCCCCACCAGATACAAGAATTTCAACAGCAAGTAGCCCCAGTAGCATATAACAGCATATCCTCTTCCATTCATAGTGACTGCTCTTCGGTGGGAAGGAGTTGAAGTGCAGCCACATTTAGATGACTGGCTGTTAGAAGCCAAAGGTCCAGATTGCAGTTCAATAAGGCCTGGTCTACACTAGGACTTTAATTCGGATTTAGCTGCGTTAATCCGAATTAACCCTTCACCCGTCCACACTACAGAGCCAGTTAATTCGAATTAAAGGGCACTTAAAATCGATTTCTGTACTCCACCTCGACGAGCGGAGTAACGCCTAAATCGATTTTGTTAATTCGAATTAGGGTTAGTGTGGCCGCACACCACCGAATTACTGTGTTTAAGTTAATGGGGTAGTGTGGCCGCACACCACCGAATTAATGTGGTTAAAAACCGAATTAAGGTGCTTAGTGTGGCCGCGCACAATCGAATTTATACAACCTGTTTCACAAATTCGAATTATCTAAATTCGGATTAATCCTGTAGTGTAGACATACCCTAAGTGTGTTTCTCTTCTTTTATCATTGGAGTTTATCATACATCTAGAATACTCTAAAACCAACCTAGGATCTAGTCCTTCTTTTAATTGTGGTCTTCATTGTGTAAGCAGACCCTAATCTAGCAGGGTGGATGGGAGCTGGCCCATTCTGCATTCAAGACTATTTGCAGCTGTTGGGAAAACTCTAGTCATGGACTTGTTCACCATGAGCCAACAGGATGGTTCTCATGTTAAACAGCTAATCCAAAGAAAGAGGAGGACCAACAGGCATGGATGCATCCTCTATCTCTGGTCATGATTCTTGGAGACATTTACTATGAATCAATGGGAAGGGGGAAAATAGCAGTACTTGTCCAAACTCTGCCTACTGTACTGACCAAGCTCTGCTTACATCCCATACCAGAATGAGTTGCCACTCACAGTAGTTTATGCTGATGTTCAAAATAGCTTCTGAGCACTGGTAGGCTTCCTGGTCTTGACTCCCCTCAGTGAGGCTTGTGTGTACTGTGCATATCTTCATACTATGACTGCTGTCCCTCTTCTTCCTTGCATGTTTTTGATCAGCAATAAGATCATTTAAATTTCAGTACTTTAAATGTTCATCGCTGGGATTCAGTGTTAACACCCAGTGAGGTCAGTAGGGATATGGTATACCTCTCAGAGCTATTGCTAAGAGTCAGTTATGCCAATTGCTGAATGAATATGAGCAGGAAGCTCTTTAAAGCTCCCTACCTGTAAATCCAGTCTCTGTAAAATGTTGATATAGCAATACACAACCTTCTATAGAATTTTCTATAGATTGCCTTGTATGGTTTTAATTAGTTAAGGACTTTGGCTGTTGAAATGATTGAATGTTTCTAATCTCAAGTGAGTTATATAGACCATTTGATGGCCATGCAAATACTCAGCTGGAGCTTTGGCCACTGGGCTAAGTTTTGTCACATGGGGAAAGCTTCAAATCCAGAAACTGGACAGTCCCCTTCTGGAGAGAAGATATCAGAGCAAGTCTATTATGCAGATTGCTGAATGAACAGTTTTTAAAGAAATCGTACTTACACTCGGGGAAATCTCTTCTCCTGCAACATTACTTGTGTGGCACATCCTTAGACTTATTTTTTTACATTAGAACAATGCATCAATTTGTATTTGTAAGTATTAAACCCTGGACTTAAGGGGGCATCCTTGTCTGCTGGCTTCAGTGGCACCTATAGTCATTGTTGCTGTAAAATTAACATATGTAATAACAAAGATAGTCTAAAATCCATTTGAGTCTAAGTGGATTGTTACTAAACTATCTTTGGACAATTTAGAAGCTCTTTGCAGTTCCCACTGCAGATTGCACTTTGCTCCCAGCTACAGTACAAGCAGTAATGACACTATAATTAGTTATGCAATAGACAGATGGAGACTGTCCAAATTATCCTAAATTGAACAATATGAACTCCATTAGCTTGTATGCTAATATTGTTCTGTGGCCAAGGGTGAATTTGTACTGAAAATTAATATTCTATTTTACATTTGGAAGGTTCATTTCAAAATATCATTTAAATGTATCACTTTTGTTTAGTTCGTTTAGTAATAGATGAGTTGGGGTTTGTGAAGACAAGAGATGAAGATGAGACTGCTAATCTCATATGGAGTGATTCTGCTGTGCAACAGGACAAGATTGCTGAGCTCCGAAACTACCAGGTAACATGCAGCATGCTTAATGTTTCTGAATCAGTTTTTTTAAAAACCTTCCATTCTGAAGTCATGAATTAATCACTTGGTATTCCTGGGTCAGTTGAACCCATCACAAGACTAGAAGGCAGAAACACCAGCTGCACCAAATATTTTGATACTAAGGATTTTTAATTTCTATCTTGTTTTCCCAGTATGAAGTTTCTGTATCACTTGGCCTTTAGTGTCAACATCTTTGGTGTTCTAGGAGTGCTTCTGCTTGCCAGTGGCCTGTTGTGAGTGATCAGAGATGGAGTGTTTTATTCAAAATACAGAAACATTTATAGGATAAATTGAATATGAGCTTGTATATTGTTAGATAACCAGAGCCCCTCTCCCTAGTATTTGTCTGTAAGTCATCTCCTTCCTTTTTAACATTAGTTTGTGACAACTGTATTTGTTTACATATAGCTCTCTGAGTAAAAGGATCTGATTCTCCTCTCACTTGCCCTGAAGTCAGTAGAGATACATAGGAGTAAATCTGGAGGGAAAGGAGAATGCAGCCCATAACATCTCAAAGCCGGTCTGCTACTTGTTCAGGGAAAGCCCCTGGTGGGCTGGGCTGGTTTGTTTACCTGCCGCGTCCGCAGGTTCGGCCGATCGCGGCTCCCATTGGCCGCGATTTGCCGCTCCAGGCCAATGGGGGCTGCGGGAAGCGGCGCGGGCCAAGGGATGTGCTGGCCACCACTTCCTTCCACCCTCATTGGCCTGGAGCGGCAAATCGCAATCGGCCGAACCTGCAGACGCGGCAGGTAAACAAACTGTCCCAGCCCGCCAGGGGCTTTCCCTGAACAAGTGGCGGACCGGCTTTGAGAACCACTGAAGTACTCTCTAGGATATCGAATATAATTTAGAAAGTCTTTACCAATTAATGTGTAATCTGATACTAATTTAATTGACTGTTTGAAATGTTTGTCTATAATATTTGTGATAGAAACGCATACAAATACCAACATTCACATTTTTTTTCCAGAGAATCAACCATTTTCCAGGAATGGGAGAGATCTGTAGGAAGGATTTCTTAGCAAGAAACATGACCAAGTAATTTACTTCTTACTAATCTAGGAATGGTGTTTGAAAAGTGACTGAATTTAAATCTGCATTCCAAACATATTTTTTTGATGTTGTACAATATTGAATTGTCTCTTATGAGAACTGTTCATTTCTACAGGATACAATAACAGAGCCATGAAATCATTTCTGAGGTTCTCAGTAGTTTTGGCCCCAATCCTGCATGCTGTAGCACATAGGTAGACTTCTGTGCCTGTCCTGTTTACTTCATTGTGGCTCCACAAATGCACAGTAGTCTGTCCACACACCACACAAGGCAAGATTGGGGCCTTACATGTATTATAACACGTGCTTTAAGCACACTTGCGCATACATGATTTAGCAACAGAACCAGGAGTAGTGGGGACAAAGTATTCAAATATATTGATGTATAATAACTTAATAATGTATTATCTATTTAGAATAACAAGCAGTTCTCTGTATCATGATATATGTATATCAAATACATAAATGTAAAGTATCTTATTAAGAAACTAGTCCTTCCCTTCTGTGGACTATCTTCTAAAATGTCAGTTGGTTTTTTTTTCATTATTGAAAAACATACAAGGTACTGAATAGAGACTCAGTGTAAATTGGCACTGCTCCATTGAAATCAGTGAAGCTACAATGATTTATGCTGTCTGAGGATCTGGCCCAATGAGTATAACCTATAAGAAAATAATATTAAATGGTGATTAATCAGCCTGTTACTAAGATAAAGAAGAGCTTTCCAAATGTGTACAGAAAGGTTTGTGAATATATTGATATATGTACAGTAAATTAGTTCAAAATAATTTAAAAATACAGTGTACTATTAATCTTTAGACCTAAAATTTGACCTACACTATGTCTGTTTTCTTCATGGAAATTTACGTGTGTGTTCCTATTTTTATATGCGCGCGCACACAGCATACTATTATTTATTTGCATTACCAAAGCACCTAGGAGCCCTAGTCATGGATCAGGACCCACTGGACTAGAGGCTATACCATCACAGAACAAAAAGATGGTCTCTGCTTTGAAGGGTTTACAATGTAAGTGTAAAACAAAAAGCAGACAGAATACAATGAAGCAGTATTGGTCAGCATGATGGGCAATGTTTTATGTTAGTCATACTACTTCATGTCTGAGATTTTAAAAAAATGTGCAGAGCAATAAAGTGCTCAAGTTATCATGTATATTATCAGGCTCAGGCTGAGAACTTGGGTCTCAACCTGCTGAAGCCCAAGTGTGGGACACAGTCTCAAAATGATGTCTGTGACAATGCTACAAGAAACTGTAAATAATGTGGGCTCAATTTCTTAAATAGAAATATTTTTGGGTCAAATACATCTCTGGTGTAACTTTACTGAAATTAATCCCTGCTGTAATTCTATTTATCTAGCCTATTTTCCATGACCTCAGTATTGTGAGTCAACATTTAATCTTAATAATTTACAGTAATCAAAGTGCCAAACCTCAAGACCATTTTGTGAAAGAGGCAAATCTGTATCTAAAGTTAAAGGGAGTTGTGAGATATGGCTGGGAATACTACAATATGTAGAGTGGAGGCTTTGCTTCCTGATTGCTATTCTTCTGTGTTAATATTTGTGACTATGTATATAATAGTACAGAATTCTTATTTCTGGTCTCTTGCTTTTCTGCTGCATACAGTCTCTTCTATTCCCTTGTTTCCTTAATTGTAGGATGGAATGATGCACAACTGCTTTTGTTTATGATCTTACCTCTCAGCTCTGCTTACCTTTTTTCAAGAGTGCGCTGGAATGTTGCTCAGTTTTTTTTTTTTTAAATTGTTTTCTTTGCTCTATTATGCAGTTCTTTCAATGATAGTCACGCTTGCAATACAATACAGATATTGTTCTTGTATTCTGTTGAGACAATGGGGCACCAGGGCAAGCAGAAATAGAGTACTGTGTTTTGAAAATAGAAGCAGCAAATGTCCAGAACACAGTATTATCTCTAAATCCTTTCTTTAAAGGAAACAAGCAAGCAAGTAAATAAAGCGGAGGAGAAAAGCTTTAGAATAAAACCTTATCCTCACAATAACATAAAGGCTTGGAGCTTAGCCACAAATAGAAAAAGCAACATATTAATCTGGTAACACGTTTTGCTAAATATGTTGCTCATAAACACAGAGAAAAAAGATGGTAATTATATATTAAGGTTCAGAAGAACATAGTGCATTGTTTAGGGATTTAATCACATGAGTCTCTCAAACACCATTGTGAGTTATATGCAGTTGAGTGTACCCCATGCAATTCTCTGAAAAGGTTCCTACGTACAGTCTCTTGAAGGTTTCTATTCTAAGCTTAGTTACTGACTTTGGGCAAATCACTTAACCTCTTGCTTCAGTTTGCCCATCTGTAAAATCAGTATAATACCTCCCATGAGAAAAATACTGATAGCCCTCATAAAACCTAAATAATGGACCAAACTTGCATACTATATGCGCTAGTGCTTTGACATGTTCAGATGAAATTCCCTATAGGAGTGCAAACTTTTCATTACAAATATTCTTTTATTAAATGCTGTAGGAGTTTTGTACTTATTGGCAGTGCACAATTAAAGAAAAAAAAGATGAAGATATTAAAGTTCTAAACTGTTGTGCGTAGCATCATATGCTGTATAAATATATTTGAAATTGGTTCACTCTAACAGTTGCATTTCATAGAATATCAGGGTTGGAGGGGACCTCAGAAGGTCATCTAGGATCAAAGCAGGACCAATCCCCAGACAGATTTTTGCCCCAGATGCCTAAATGGCCCCCTAAAAGATTGAACTCACAACCCTGGGTTTAGCAGGCCCATGTGCAAACCACTGAGCTATCCCTCTCCCCACTTATATATCTTTACACAGTGAAGATGTGTGTAGAGATACATAGGAGTAAATCTGGAGGGAAAGGAGAATGCAGCAGGTTTCTGTAATGTTTGTTGTATACTTAGCCAGTGGATTCAGTGACAGTGTGTCTATTGTACCAATATTTTTAGTATTTTGGCTCCAGTCCTAGTCTTGCAGATGTGCTTGGTAATTCTGTCATTTCTGTTACCAAGAGACAATTAGAAGTCTCTCATGGTCTCATATAGTTGGACTGAAATGATACTTTAAGTTCACTTACATCCAAGGCATTCTGACCTTATTGCTTTCATTGGCAGAGTAAGAGTATAACTAAATCTGTAATCTGTTAGAGAATTCACTGCACAATGTTATATTTATTTTTAAAAAAATCAGTTTGGGTCATATACTGCTGCCAATTTACTTTTGAAACACCCAAATCTTCTTTGAGTGGCCTCTGCACATTCACACTTTTCAGATGTCAGCTTGCAGTGTGAACTGGTGGAACCTTCTAGTGATGGCTTTCTTGCATTTTTTTCTTTCCCCTTCATTTTCCTTCAGTGTCTCATGACTTCCTGGAACCATTTTGTATCCTCTTTTGGGTGTCATAATTTCCAGTTTGGGAAATGCTACCATAAACTTCTTGTGGTCTGGGTCCTCTTTCTTCCCTGTCACCACCCACACTTCTTCCTCCATCCTGCAGACATGAATTTAGGTCTTTTGGTTCTTTCTGACCTTTATTTCACAAATATATGTACCGGTAATATATGAACTCTCCCTCCTTCCCCTCTTTGCCACCCAAACACACACAATTGTCAATATGTATTCTTGTGAGTATCTTCAGTATAAACATACCATGATAGCATCCCAGACTGGCATAAAAATGAAATTAAACCAGTGCACTGGGGATAAAATATGGCCAAAATTTTGCCACCAAAATGTGATAATTAGGAGGATGTCTCTGCCAAGGGGAGAAGGATCTATGAACTGCTATATATCTTTATCACATTGTACTCTTTAATATAGGAAGGATAGCATATCACCAAGGATTTTTATTAATTGAGCCACATCTTTTGGAGAAATGAATCCATGCATGAGGATATGCAAAAATGCAATATACCCCTTTTTATAGTTCTGATTGTTTGCATATTAATGCATCATAGACAACTATTCTTAACTGTTTTGGACTTGTTTTCTTGATACTCTATTTTGTCAAACTTGCTTTTCAGAGTCCCCATTCAGAATACAATTTAGTCCTGTAGACTGAAGTGTAACAGGTTTAAACTTGAAGGTTGAAAAAGGTTTCTAAACTCAGTTTTCCTTTTTGCAGAATGATCAAGTCTCAGCCTCAGGAGTATAGTTTTATTCCTCGAACATGGATCTTCCCTGCGGAATATATGCAATTTCAGAACTATGTAAAGGAACTGAAGAAGAAGCGAAGACAGAAAACGTTTATAGTCAAACCAGCTAATGGTGCAATGGGGCATGGGTAGGTCGATTGTTTAGATAACATGAATAATCTATTCAAAGGTGAAATGTTTAAAAAAATATTTTCCAAATAATGGGCAGTTTTTGAGATTAAATTTTAACTTTTGTGCCTCTTATCCCAAGCTACTGTCATTACCTGGAAACTCTGGTAGCAAAAGTATGTGAACAGTAGTGTGAATAATATGTGAATAGTAGTGTCCGTATAAGAAGGCTTACATTTTGACAAAGGCCTACAGACCAATAACAGTTGAGATAGAAGGCTAAATGGAAATGGTAAAAGGGGAACTTTGTTTTCCGTGTTACAGAAAGCTTTTGCTAATAAGGGGCGAAAATAGGACTTGAGATCAGGATTCCTTTTGTGAAAATACATATAGGCAATATGCTTTTGTATCTATGGGATGGGATGTTACAGGAACAACCAGGTGAGATAAGTATATCAGGTTCAAGTCTCAACTCTGAATTTTCACAGCTTTGTTACCTTAACTCCAAACTTTAGTATTTTTAACATAGATTTTAATGTCCCGGAGTTCATAATATCAATTAGCTCAGCCACTTGGTTATGTGAAACATATGAAATGAAACAACAAAAATCGGGGTTGATTCTGCCACCTGTACTCCTATTTACTCTGCAAGTAGCCCCATTGAAATCAGTTTGGCAGTGAAGTGGCACTGAATCCTGGATCTGGGGCAGAAGATGAGCTGAAGAAAGTATAGGAGCCAGTCTCTAGAGCTGTATGGCAAGAAATAATCTTAAAAGCCAGTGGCTGGTCACTCTGCCTAGCATTTGTGAACAGCAGAGGGAAACCCATTATTCCAACTTGTCGGATGAATAGGAGCAGAAAGTTATTTTTAAATGGTGCATTGATTTTCTTCATCCCATTGTAGCACTGTCAAGTGCAGGAAGCAATAAAAGCACGTAAGTGAATGGCATTTTTCTGTACTATGCAAATAAGATACACAATATCCACATAGATAATGGAATTAAGATGGTTCTCTGGCTGGTCAGCTATGAAAATGTACTTCAAAGAGTTGTGTCAAATTTCAGTGTTTTAAATTAACCTTTGTTTTAAACAGAATCTCTCTGATAAGAAATGGAGAAAAACTACAAGCTCAGGATCACTTGATTGTTCAGGAATACCTTGACAAACCATTTCTTATGGAAGGTTACAAGTTTGATTTACGAGTGTATATTCTGGTAACATCCTGTGATCCATTAAAAATATTTTTATATCATGATGGACTTGTGAGAATGGGCACAGAGAAGTACCATCCTCCCAGTGACTCTAATTTGGTAAGTGGATGCTAGTCCCAATGTATCACTTGCAATAATAGCACTAAATATTTTCTAAGGGGATGATTGAATGAATGTCAGATACATAGCAAGATTAGCAGCATTTGGAGAAGGGAAAACAAATGTCCATATTAACCTAATTTAGATTAGGTTTTCAAATCCAGAATTAGTTTTATATTTGCTAGGCAGGACCTTTCCGTTGTTAGCTTAAAGTTCAGAATGTAAATGAGAAGTTAAAATAAAAGACAGCCTTCAAGACATTTAACTCATTATTGGCTCTGCAGTGCTAGAACATGATGACATATCATTGCTCATATAATAATTTTCAAACTAATCTGCTTCTTCTGTTGTCTCCAAAAGACATTTATTTCCAAAAAGAGAGAAAAAGGCAACAATTATTAACCTTCAAACCTAGACCAGGGAGAACTAAAGTGGATCCCATCAATGACTGTTATATTGAATTTATATTTATTCAATACCTTGTCTTTGGTGGTGAGAAAGGGGCATCTCTTGCCTTATCCTGCATCAGGGAAATCTGTGAGTTTTGATTTGAAAGGGCACAGAATCAATCCCTCCAGTGTGTCAGCCAGGGGTCTGGGAAGCTGTGCAGAAGAGGGATCAGAAAATGAGAGCTGGTTCGTGGGCTGATAACGGTTGCCATTGCAGTCAGGAGTCAGAATCACTGCAAGTGAGGGATGGTTACTGTGGGTTTAGGGGAAGTATTATCAGGACCAATGGTCTACAGGGGAATGGTTCCTACAGTGGAAGAGAGGAGTGAACAGCAGAGCCCAATAGCAACAGCCACTTCACATGTACCTGCTTGTGGAAATATATATTTGGCTGCTTTACAGTGAGACAGTAGAAGACCACCTGCACACTTGGAGGAACGCACCAAATCATGAGAGACACACATTAATTCTACTACTCACTGTATTGTGTCTCCAAGTGAACAGGTAGCAGTATTCGGGTCCTCTCAGTGTGACACAGAACAGAATACGAGTGGCTACTGAGAAGCAAGTAATTTTGAGGCATCCCAGGTATAAGTGATTTCAGTTCTTGCACTACTGTGTTGCATAGGGAACCTGCTGTCATGCCAGCTTCCCTATTCCCAGGGCCGGCTCTAGACACCAGCAAAGCAAGCAGTTGCTTGGGGCAGCAAATTTGCAAGGGCGCAAGAATCCAGCATGGGAGCCGAGAACCAACAGGGGGCCCTGGGAGCTGTAGTTCCTTGGTTAGCTCCCTGCCTATAGAGTCAGCCCTGGAGCAGGGAAAGAACTACATTTCTCAGCATTCCCTCCACCACAATTAACAGGAAAGGGAGGAGGAAGGAGTGTGGAACTGAAACCTCATGCTGCAGCTTGCTGTGAATGGTAGGGACAGAGCCAGCTCTAGGTTTTTTGTCGCCCCCCCACCCCAGCCCTGGGCTTCCCCCACACCCCTGTGTTTCCCCAGCCCTGGACTCTCCCCCGCCCACACCCCCTGCTGCCCCAGCTCTGGCCCCCACCTGCACCCCCCTGCTGCACCAGCCCTGGGCTCTCCCCCCACCCGCATGTCCTGCCACCCCAGCCCTGGGCTCTTCCCCCCCCCCCGCACCTCCTGTCACCCCAGCCCTGGGCTCTCCCCCAAAGAAAGAATTGGGTGGACTAAATGGACAGTGCACCTCTCTATCTGAAGCCTAGCAAGGGAGATCCCACTAGAATTTAAAATGAAAAGTAAGGGAGGGGAGGCTCTACAAGACTGGGCAGCTGTAGATACAGTACCAGGCACATAGGAGGATTTACACTTCTGAGCCATGGAAGCAGAAATTGACTTTTCTTTTCCAGATTTAGCTAATATTCAGAAAGGGAATCTAGCACCTGCCTTCCAGATTTGAACACCCTCAAAATTCAAGAGTGCTCAAGCTCAATTTGGGCAGCTGTTACTTCATTTCTCCCAAATCAAATATACTGATCCACTGTAACTTGCTGTAGAAAAAGTAGAATAAATTGAGCAAGAAATGCTTCCCAGGGGTTATTAGGACTGGAATTGCTATTTTCAACAGCCAGTTTTAGTTTTATTTGTTTAAAAGGAAGACAGTGATATTGCATTGGCAAATTCCCCATAGAAACAAAGAATGGAACAAAAGAATAATAAAGGCACCTCAACTTTTCCTCATTTATGTAGGACAGTCTTATAATATGCATCCAGATATCCTTCAATCACACAAGATGAAAATTGTTCCACTTTACTGCAGTTCTGTAACCATATGGGAACCAATCCTGTCTGTGTTCTGTGAACATCCAAAATTCCTGCTGAATGACCCGCCATGGGTGCGAGTTACCAGTGACCCAGGGCTGGGGCGGCAGGAGGGTGCAGTTGGGGTGGGGGGGAAGAGCCCAGGGCTGGGGTGGGGGGCAGCCAAAACATTTTTTGTTTGGGGCAGCAAAAAACCTAGAGCCGGTCCTGCCTATTGCACACCCATGCACATTTCATGGGCTAAATTATGGCTGTCTCAGTATGGTTTGCTGGGGTACTAGTGCGTTCGGAGAGTCTTTTTTCCCTCCCTGCCCTCCTTCCCCTACTCCCCTCTCACTACTCTGGTGGAGGACACAGTTATAATTTGGCAGTCTGTGTGCTCTGATGTTAAAACTGGGATGTACAGCTGCTGCCACCAGTGCTTATGTGTGATGGATCATAATCCTGGCACTGCCCCTCTGCCCTAGGATTGCAATGGGAAGAGCACATATTGTATCTGCAGTAACTGCACTTGTCTCAGTCTGTTGGGAGACATTATCCCTGTTCCTAGCCTCTGCAGGCATTGTACCTTCAGCGACCATTGCTAAGGAAGTAGTGCCCTTAGTATTTTATTTACAACAATAGCAGTGCCCTTAATATTTTGTTTGTCAGTTGGTGATCTATCTCACATTTCATCTCCTGATACTATTTTCAAATGCTAAGGCATTGGCTATATGATTTCTTATAAGATGCTGCATGAAGTTACTTTATGCATTGCTTCTGTTAATATTCATCAGTAAATCAAGCTGCCCTCATCTCTTGCATGTAATTATCAAAATTTATATTCAGAACTAGTTGCCTTGAATATTGTTTGCATTAATATGCCACCAATATCACTGAAATATGCTTTGTGACTGGGCAAGTGAGGTGGAGAACAGTCAGAGTTCTTTTGGTACTGCCTACTTCAGCATTCTCTTTTCTAGCATTGTTATCATGCAAGGACTTTTTTTCCTTTAGTTTGGACCTTATAAAACAACTCTTCGCTCTTTTCTGAAATCTGCTGATGCCATAATCCATCAATTACTTGAAGTGCTTTTGAGTGGCCTGGCTCATTTCTAATAATCTAAAAATCCAGACATTTTTAGAGCGAAGATTGTTAAACAATTTAACTAATGTTCTGAAAAGGCTTTTATTTCTTCATAATCTGCAAAACAATTAACTTAGGATAGTTGGCATTTTATGGAAAGATGACATCTGTGGCTAGTCAAGACTATGGACTTTGATCTGATTCTCATAACAAAAATTAGAAACCATAGCAGAACGCCAATTTGTATAGTGTTAACCCAGTATGTTGTCAGCTATCCTGAATTTAGGCTATTAAATTTTTCAAATAAAAGTAACTGCGGTGAAATAAACAGTATGACAGGGGAGAGCTTGAATTGTCTCCTTTCTATCAAATCAGTATGGAATTGGGGCAGAAAGATTGTAGCAACATCTACTGGCCCTCGATTAAGCGATAAGGTAAGACAGATTGTGTGGTAGTGCAGCAGTAAAGCTGATTAATGCTTACATTGGAAGAACATGCACATAGATCAGTGACTTATAAAATGGCCTTTAAAGGAAAAGCGATATATTGTTAAATTTAGGCTCGTTAAAATGGTTCCTCAGGAAACAAGTTCTGTTAACCATCAAAAATGTTACTTTGAAAATACCCTCGAATTTGTGTCCTTCTTTTGAAAGCAGGTTTTGCTTTTATTCAATGTTTTATCTCCTAGTTAATCTTCTGTGCGCCTAGTATCCCCCTCAAGCTCTGTCTGATCAGTTCAATTCCATTTTCAATGGCAAAACACAATTGAAAACACAAATCAACTCCTGTTTGCATTTTTCCATATAAAATAAAAACAAATATTATTGGGCTACATGTTATTGATGTTCTGCCTTGGAACTTCGGTGCCTCTAATGTCTGGGTACCAGCCGCCAATCCTGAGCCTCACTGACAACTGCAAGGGTGAGGGAATAGAGCTCATGAGTAGTAGATATTTTTAAGGCGATAAACCGGATCTTCATCATGAGAACATTTCTCATAAACAGAGTACAGTGAAAACTGAAAGGGGGATTGTCTCAGAATGAGACAGGTGGCCAAGTACTTAGTAGCATTTTCCTGGTCTACAGACACCTCTGATAGTGTGGATGTATGTTAACTGCTCTGTAGATACTTTTCTCTAGTCAGGGCCAGCTCCAGGCGTCAGCTAAGGGTGGCACATGCTAAGGAGCGGCATTCCGTCCGTTCTTGGGGTGGCACAGTCTGGACACCTTTTTTTTTGCTTCTGCAGTTCGGGCGGCGGCAGTCCGAGCGGCTTTTTTTTCTCTTTGCTTGGGGCGGCAAAAATGGTAGAGTCGGCCCTGTCTCTAGTTATTGTTTATGTATGGACATGTAAAGATTGGCAACACACATAGGTCCCAGTCCAGCAAAGCAGGTAATCTTATTCTAAGTAGTCCCATTGACTTCAGTTGGCTTAAATTTAAGCATATGCTTAAGTTCTTTGCTTTATCAGGGCTGTAACATTCAGTATATAAAGTCTTCCCAAGAGCTAATTATACTTGAGCTTCATGTAATGATAGTTGTACTGTGGGTTTATTTCAATAAATGTGATATGAAACTCAAAATATGAATCATATATTTAATAGAAATAAATATTATAGTATGTCATGGTTTATATAACATTAAAAGGCTTTATTTCAGTTACGTGGGTTTTCTTTCTAAATTATTTTGAACCACATATTCTGGATCCGTATTTATGAGATATCTGTTACCTTTCCCTGCTTGCAGAGCCAGTTGTATATGCATCTAACCAACTACTCTGTGAATAAACATAATGAGCATTTTGAACGGGATGAAACAGAAGATAAAGGCAGTAAACGATCCATAAAATGGTTTACTGAGTTTCTACAAACAAATCACCTTGATGTTTCCAAATTCTGGAGTGATATTTCAGTAAGATAAAACTAATGTGCAATTAATTATTTATGTATATACAGCATATCAATTTAGAAAATTAATGTCACCTGTCATCTCTAGACTTTGCTTGGAAACCACCATGTGTATTGCAGCGTTATTAATCCGAGCTCTCAATAATGCACATCTCAAAGCACATACTGTAAAGTGGTGCTAAGGGCAAACTGTTGTTTTAAATTTTTTTTTTAAGGCTTATAAGTAGGACGGCTTTCAGACTGAATTAGCCTTCTTTATGGAGAGACTTTTTTCTGCGAGGTTAGCATTGAAGTCATTTTGCTAGACAATGTAGGACAGAGTGAATTAGTTGCAATAAGAATAGCAGGGGAGATATTGATAAATCTGGAGAAAACTCTGCCCTGACCTATATGTCATGTAACCCTTAATAAGACTAGAGTTGCCCAAGATATAAGGCAGGGCAAAATTAGACTTAATGCTATTTTCAATATCTGCTTAAACAAAGGGCTAAATTTATGCTTAAATCCCTTAAAATGGATTTGTTTATATAATTCCCTCAGACTGCTTTAAAAATATAGCAATCATTTGTTCAACCTTTTCGTAACCACAGATGACAGATCTAGACAATTCCTCTTGTCATGAATGTATTAGAAGACTTGAATATGAAAAAACTTGATTATGATTTATCTCAAAATATGCTGATATCATTCCCTGCAGTTCTAATGTAACTTTGTGAAAAATCCCCACAGGAACTAGTGGTGAAGACTCTCATAGTAGCAGAGCCACATGTCCTTCATGCTTATCGTATGTGCAGACCAGGCCAAGCTCCCGGAAGTGACAGTGTCTGCTTTGAAGTACTGGGATTTGATATCCTGCTGGACAGAAAACTAAAACCCTGGCTCCTGGAGGTAAAGCACTTTTGTTAGACTGTAAAGTCTGCTTATACAAAACTAAGTACAGTCATGCCTAGCCAATACCTTCATGGGAAAACTCCCAAGGAAAATCCAAGCATTGTAGGAAGGGGTACTGGTGATTAAATAGCTGGCACTCATCCTTCTGAGTCAGCAAATAGCAAATAGACATGGGTAGCCCCCCTAGCACAAGGTAAGCTTAGATGAGTAGAGTGAGTACAAACCCTACACCACTCTCTACTCACCCAGACTGTGCCTCCCCATCTACTCTGCTATTTTTAGCAGTATAGTGTCCCATTGCCTCCCGCTGTTGGAGCCTTTCCCCGCCACAAGAAAAGACTCTGACAGTGGGGAGGGGGGCAGCAGGGAAATAACGCTCAGGCTCAGCCTTTCCCCACTTACTTCCCACTGCCAGAGCCTTTAACTGACACATGTAGCTACACACGGCAGCATGGATGCCGCTTGCTTTTTACTGTGGCATGTAGCTGCCATCAGTGGCATGTAGTATAGACGTAGCCTGAGCTAGTACTGAATCGGTGCCCTTGAATGATCCTGGGGTTGGGAAGTTTGGGGTAAGGGAAGGATATTGTTTTGCTGCAGGTCTTGTATTTCACAAGAGATGTAAAACTAAGGTCCTGACCACTTTAAAGTTCACATACAACTTTTTGTGAGAGGAAGGGTGTAACCCTGGCTTCCTGAACACGTGCCAGCCTGAGGACCACTCTCACTCAAACAGAGTACTGTTTTCCTCTGCAAGGAGTCCCACTGGCTTCAGTGCAACTGCTCAATGTGAGTAAAGGTGGCAGAATCAGCCCTCCATTCATTAATTACATTTTGTCCAGTTAGATGTCTCTGGCCAGTTAAGTACAAATATTTGATAAGTCTGAATGGCGTCTAGTGCAGTCCTCCCTAGCTGGAAGGACGGTGGCTGTGAATGAGTTCAGGCAGAGGGGAAAATACTGCCTTCCATAGGGTGAGGTGAAGAACATCCTCAAGCCTTTTGCACCTTCTCCGCAAAAAACAATAAGAATATTGACATGTCTCAGCATTTTAAACATTACAGTTAGTCTATGGAGGAGGAGACCTATAAATCGCTTTGGAAAGATTTATTTTCCATTTCTAGTTTAGAAACTAGCCTTTTATTTTGTCAAAATATTGTCATCTTTTCTCAGTTAAGATAGAGAACAAACTTGTCACTTTTAACATACAATATAATGCCATGAATCCATTATTTTGGAGATGGCATTTACAGCTTTTGGACTTGATCCCTCCAGGTGCTGAGCACTCTGATGTGATGCAGCAAAATGTGTAAGCATGTGCTAACTTCAAGCATGTGAGTAATCCCATTGACTTCAGTAGAACTATTCAAGTACTTAAAACTAAGCCCCTGTTTAAGTGTTTTGCTGGATCATGCCATAATACTTGGCGCCTTGCAGGATCAAGCCCTTTAGTGAATGAACCTTTTCCCCAAGATAGGCTTTAGCTTGTCCGTTCAGAAAAGAAAATGGCACCACTAATCCTGCCCACCAGATGCAGAAGGAATTTTTTTTAAAATTTTTGACTTGTAATGGTTTATTCTGTATCAGTTTTTAACAAACTGCTTGACACAGAAGTGATGCATTTTCCAGACGGAGGCAAGGTCACTGAACATTTTGTTTGACTTTAAAAGTTACTTTAATTCTACACAGCTTCTCTATCACTCTTTGCAACTTCTGTTTGACAAACTACTTTGAAGTACATAATGCAGCTTTAAGCTATTAGCACTTCCAGTTCTGCGGATGGAAAAAAGGAGTCCTACTGAACAGAAAGTTGGTTGTCTTTGGTAACCCAAAAGACAAACACCAAAGCAAGAATCCCTTGCACACACATTGTTACTAACTACTTGATACACTATTTGGGCATACAAAAATCAATTGCTGCTTGAACAAAGCAACTGTAATCAGCGTAACTGGGAAGCATAGAGGCAAAATGTAGGCACCAGCATTAAAACAATTTTTCACTCCACAGCGTGGATTAGTAAGACACTTTATTAGTAGCACTTGGTCTACACCTAAAATTTAGGTCAACCTAGCTATGTTGCTCAAGGATTGAAAAATTCACACCCATGCGAGATGTAATTAAGCCTATCTAAGCCCCTGTCTGGACAATGCTAGGTCGATGGAAGAAGTTTTTCATTGACCTAGCTACCACCTGTCGGGGTGGATTAATTACAGCGATGGAAAAACCCCTTCCGTTGCTGAAACAAGTGTCTGTACTACAGCAGTATGGCAGCAGCTATGCTGCTGTAGCACCTGTAGTATAGACATAGCTTAGGCCTTGGCTACACTTGCAGCTGTATGGTGCTGTGAGGTAAACCTGTCTTCGTACAGCTGAGTAGGGAAAGTGCTGCAATCTGTCCACACTGACAGCTGCCAGTGCAGTGGCGTGGCCACACTTGCAACATTTGCAGCTGTGTTGGGAGCGGTGCATTATGGGCAGCTATCCCAGCATTCATGTGGCTGCAACGTGCTTTTCAAAACTGGGGGGGTGAGGTGGAGTGTGACAGGGAGTGTGGGGGGAGAGAGAGTGCTTTTTGGAGCGTGTCAGCTCTCTATTTTGCAAGTTCCGAACTCCCGGCCCCCTGCTCATTCATTCACTCATTCAAAGCAAACAGCAAACTGTTTGCTTTTTCTCTGTGGTACAAGCTTTGAAACCGGCACTTCCGCATTCCTGCAGCCGGTCACAACAATGGAGAGGATTGGCCACTTGACAAGGTGATCAGAACAGCGCTGCAGGTTGATTCCTGGCACACACTCACAGGGGAGAGTCGTAGCCACTCCGCTGTATCTCTTATGCTTCTCGGGGAGGTGGAGTACCTGCAGCGGTGTACCCAGGGAGATACAGCGCTGCAAGTGCCCTGCCGGTGTGGACAGGGAGTGAGTTACAGCGCTGGGGGAGGCTTTACAGCGCTGTAACTCGCAAGTGTAGCCAAGGCCTTACGTTTACAAATGGATTACTTCTATTCTTGAAACCTAATCTGTTTACACCCAGTCAAAATTAGGTGCAGGTTCGGTACTGCCTGTGGCCTTGCCAATATTTTATGAATTTACAATCACAATTACCTATTTTTGAGAGACAAATTTTTCCCTTCCCTTCATGAAAGACGACATAAACAACAGATGGAGCTATTTGACTGACTAAACAGGGTAAACAGTTAAACTGTTAAACTAACTGTATAAAGAGTGCTGTCAAGTGAACAAACTTAGTTTCTTCCTCTAATCTCTCTTCTATAATAATCTGAAGTGTTACTTGTAAAAATAGTAGTTAACAAGTCTCAGAAGCGTGTGTGTGTGTGTGTGTGTGTGTTTTGTTTTCCTTTTGTTTACATGGTTAATGCATGTTTGGGGCTTTGTCTTTTTCAAACAAACTGGGTGATGCCATTATGGCAACTGCTTACAGTGCTTGTATAGCTTGAGGAAAAACCAAAGCATTTTTAAAAAAAGTTTGCCTACTGACAGTAAAACATGATGATGGTTGGTTGATTGGCTGGTTGATTTGATTGATGGTATTGATGAGCAAAACATCCATAATTAATATGTCAAATGATAGCCTTATTCTCCAACCACTGACTGTCATTGAGTAGTTTAGCAGGCATATTTCTCACAAAGGTTGGCATAACTTTAATTAGAAAAACATATATTCCTTCCCCCTCTTCCCTGTAGAGAGACTAATTTGCTGGCATTGATGCCTTGCCCAGAAACAGCACATGACGTACAATGCTGTATCTGCATTTTAGAAATGGAAATGTCTATGTTCATACAAATCACCAGCTCCTAAGCACTAGTAACATATATGCAATTTCCATCATCCTAGCCTGCTGTCAAATGCAGGTGCATGGGAAGATGAGGGTTCTGGAGGTTGCCACCCATGATAATAGTTGTAAGGCTAGAATCCCACTGCTCCTGGATTCTGTGTGTGGGGTGTGTGCATATGGGGTGATATTAGTAAACACTGCTGTGGTGCTGGAATTATTGGAGCTGTATTACATATGGGCATGGGGAATCGTATACCCTTTATTTTATTACATTTTCATATTTAGTTTCAGTTCTTTCCCATTTTGCTAGAGGTCAGAGACATGACTAACCTTAAATCTTATTTGCCAGAGACATTGAACTAATTTAATGTAGGTTCACCCTTTGCAGTAGATACAAACTGCATCCACACCTCCTTTGTGAACACTCACTCTGCTTGTTCAGCTGTTTGCTTGCAGTACCCTCAGGTCAACATCTACTACGGCCGTTATCCTTCTATAACAATTTTGGTTCCTTCTCCAGATTCCCACTCTGGTCCCTTTCCACCCATTTCCCTCCTGCCAAGAACTCCTTAAAAGGAGTGAATCACTCTGTAGCACTGGTGACAAGCACAAACATCGCAAGTCCATGAGATTTCCCAGTGTATTGGGAGTGCTGCCAAGATGGCATTGTGATGAGGGATGCAGCCTCCACATGTTTCCTTAGCTCATGCGGTTTATTTTACAAAGGCAGCTGCACACATTATTACAAAAAAACTATTGTGATTGTTTCAGTCTTGGGGAGACCTCTGTCTCTGCATGCCCATTTCACGGGTGGTCTTGATTGGACCCAACATTTGAGGACACCTCAGCTCACCTCTCCTCTGGCATCAAGCATAAGGTTTTGATGAAGCAGAGAGTAGGGCAGGGTCTTTGTGATGGGGGCCCAGTGGTGTTACCAGGAAAGAAGAAACATTAACCCAAATTCAGGGAAATATGGGGGCAGAGCCACAGTCTTGGTTCTGAGAGGGCTCCCATGTTGCCAATCCTCAGGACACTCTCTGGCTCTCCCTTTTGGGGATGACATGGGTCCCGTGGTGCTGATGTACTTCTGCTTTCCACATGGCTCCCAAGCCTGCCAAAGGGATCCAATGAGCAGGAGGAATTGAGGTGTTTGGGACTGCGATTCTTCTTACAACCTCATCTCTGAACATTTGACTCTGCATTT